CCCTGAACCCTGAACCCTAAGCTCTAGATATTGGGCCGAGAAGGCTCGGAGCCGACGAAGGCGAGAGGCCGGAGCTTGCGGCTCCTGGAGCACCTGCATCTGATTCCTGGTTTTGTAAAAAAGAGGGTTTAGGGTTTAGGGTTTTTAAAACCCCTCTTAGTTCTGATTCCTGGTGTGCTTTGGAGAGCTCTTGGGTTTGGGGCCTATGTCAATGTGTTTCTTTGCAGATTGTTTGGTGGAATTTTACGGTGCGTCTTCGGATCAAGTGGTTAGGGGCGTGTTTTCGTTTGATGTCTGGGGCCCATGTTGGCCCATGTTTGGGGTGTTGGGCACTTGAAGGACATTGGATGGTTTTGCTTGGGGGCATTTTAGCCGTTCGGCATTGAAGCTTGTTTGCCAATAAGTTTCGAGATTTAAGCATTGCGACAGATATTGGTCTTTGTCGGTTCTGACAAGACCCTGCAAGGCTCAAGTTCGTCATGCCGCCACTTTGGTGGCTTCCCTGGGCAGTTAGGGGGCTATTGCATCTCAGGATTTCCTTTGCGCTTGAACACTAAACCGTGACAGCTCCGTCTTGATTGGTTCGCGATCGTACGTCCGCCCTCGGATGCAAAGTCTGCCGCCCAAGGAGAGAGGGCCTGTCGCTCAACGAGGTGGGGGAGCCGGGTTGTTTGTGGGGTTTCAGGGCAGCAGGGGTTTTAGGGCTTTAGGGTTTAGGGCTTCGTTTGCACTTGTGTGGTACGCACAGAAGCAGCCAGGCTACTGCGGTGAGTGTGCCAGCTCAGGGCAGCACAAAAGCAGCACCAAAAACAAATCTGACAGGCTTCAGGGTTTGCGGGCTGCGGGCTTCGGGTTTCATGGCAATCTTGAGCTTAAGGCCGAACCCCTTGAGGACCAAAACCAAAGTATAGCTTGGACAGCGTTGCAGTCCACGGAGGTGCTTTTGCTTTCTGTGGATGGGTTTGAAGATTTTCGGGGCTGAACGAAGCAGTGCTTGCCAGAAGCTTTCGCGCCAGAAGCGAGTGGACTTGACAGGCCCGTCGCGCTATCCGCGAGGGCCGGGTTCAAATCGGCGGTGTGCCCGTCGGAGATCCAGCCAGAAGCTGGGAGGCAAGGAGGTGGTAGTGACAGGTTGAGAGTTTAAGGCCCAAGGCTAAGGCCAAGGTTTAGGGACAGCAAAGTCTCTTGAACTTCAGTACTTCTGATTGTTGAAGGTTTAGTGGTAGCTTGCTTCACTATAGTCTATTCATGTCTATTACGTGAGGAGCATGTTCCTGTGGGATCCCGTTCAAGTGGCAGTTCTGCTGCTCCTATCTCCCAAACTACAAGCAAGATGAAGCTCTACTGTCTGGTGCTTAGTAGGGAATGGGGGAATGGATCTTTCTGAAGGTTCCTTATAGTAGTCCCTATCACCCATTCCCCCATTCCCTACTAAGCACCAGACAGTCTATAGGATGGATCCCTGATCCAGCAGCGGTGCAGCTGGCGCCGGGGCCACCGGCTGCAGAGGACTCTCGGACAAAGTGGGAGAGAGCGCGAGAGAGGATCTCAAGAGTCTCCCCATCCCGGATGAAAAAAAACCAGAGTTTTTTTTTTTTTCTCCGGGGCGGTCCAGCTAAGAAGACACTGCTCATGAGTTGGTCTGATTCCAAGCGACTTGTTAAGCCTCACTTTCACAGCCCTGACGTGCGGGGAAGGCCGAAGATGCCGCCATTCTTGGCGTGCGCATCGCGCAGGAGGCCGGGCTGAGTCTTTGTCGGTTTCCCGAAAGTACCACAAGTTAGCAGCTGGACTTCCATTGGCAAAGAGATATCTGAGGGAAGGCCCGTGAACTTTGACATTGCGCAGTTGGCTCGCAAATGGTGTTGGGGTTTCGAGATCCGAATGGTGTGAGCATCTAGAATGAGAGGACATGCATGTGTATGCACGTTGTGTCTATCTATCTCGTTCTAAGCATTGTAGCTAGATGCAAGCCTATTCATCCCTGCGAGTGATACTGGACTTTCAAGTTACTCCGATTCAAGCAGCGCTGACTGTGGCCATCAAATCCCCGTAGCGCTCGCATTGCAATCGCTTCCAGGAGCGCGACTTTGCCGTGGTCTGGAAGCCGGCCGGGATCAGTGTGTCTGTGTCGAGGCTGCCACAATAAGAGCTTGTCTTGTCGCAGAAAAAAGCACTTTGCCCCTGTGATCACAAAGAGCATAAATTCATCATGGGGGTTTCCCTCGAAGCCTCGAGCCCTCAAGCCCAGAGGCCTAGAGGCCTCAAGGTCCAAGGTTGTCTGGAGCACGTCAAGGGCCAGAGCGTTTGGAGCATCCTTCCTGGAGCCTGGGCATGCTCCTCTACCCAGTAAAGGTTTCTTTCTTCTGCTTCAAAGAATCATCCTAAAGTTCTCAAATCTTAGCTCCCTGCAGCAGCCAGTTTTCCTTCTTGGGTCTCTTCCGCTTGGACTTAGCTCGGTCTTCTTTGGTCCGCAGCAGAGGACTGCGCTGCCATGCTGCCAAAGATGGGAGTTCTCAGTCCCCCGGCTTCCGTGGCTTCGCTCTTTAGTCGCGGTGTAGGACCTGAGATTTGAGCATCGTGAGGGGTAGATAGCAGAGGCTGTGGAAAGCTTTTCTGGCTGCCTCAGCGGAGGCTCCTCACATCTTTTGGGCCTTGTTCGATTCGTGAACGGAAGCCCTGAACTAGGCCCGACGCCCGGGACTCTGCCCTATATAAGGTGATGAAGGATATCCCAAAGCAGTATCACGCGTGGAGCAGTCGCTTTCTGGAACCTTGGCAAGAGCAACGTGTTTTGGAGTCTGGTGCTCGTGGTGTAGGTGTTGGCTTCGGCAGGGTTTCAGACAGTGGGATGTCGGGCGGTGCTAGCTGCTTGAAAACTGAGTGAAGGACTCGTCTCTTCCCGACCTCGTTTTAGGCTTGTGTTTTCGTTTTGGAGTCATCTACCAGCACTCGCCGCTCCCAACTCCGAACCACTAGCAAGAAGCTCAAGGACTCGTTCTGGTTGCCAAGTCGACGAGCGGCTGGCGCCTGCTGTGCCGAGCCCTGCGTGAAGACCCGGAGCCGACTGCGTATTTCTTTGCACACATTGGGTTGGCAGATGGATCTGCGCAGGTTTGATGGGGCCTAGGCTAGGGCCGTTGCGGAAGAACTACCGACTTAAACCTACGAAGTTCCTCAAGCTTTCCGTTCATCAACGGCCTTGCGTACACCCTGCTGCAGCTACACAGGAGCAGCAGAGACGTGCGGCTAGAGTACAGCAGCGAAGCTGGAGAAGCAGAACACAACCCCTCAAACCTACTCGAAAGTCCTCTACCCGAGTCGCTGGATCCTGAAAGACGTTCCCACCACCAAACCCGAGTCCTTTGAAGTTTGATCAGGAGGAGCCAAAGGAATGCCAAGCCACTTCGTCGGTCTTCATGCTCTCGGTTACCCCTGGTTTGGGGCTTCGGGCAAATCTTAGAATCGAAGCTCGGAGCTCCGAGTGAAAGCTTCCAAATTGTGATGAAGCAGAAGGAAAAGGAGGTCCGAGCAAAAGCGTCCGAGCTCGTTTGAGTTTTGCTGGCGAGGGGAACGTTGAAAGCTTCGGCATATCTGACGCAGTTCTTGGCGAGTGCCCTCATCCCAGGCTGCCTGGTGCCACGTTCTGGTTGTGGTCGATTGTGTTCTTTGGCTCAATGTCAATTCCAACAATCCCCGCGGGCTTCGCTTAGCACCTACTTGTTACGCAGCTTGCATCCACAGCGGTTCTTTGTTGCTCAAGACACTTCTTGGTATCAGTCATCGAACCCTGAACCCAAAACCCTGAAGCATGCCCTGCCCAAACTCGACGTGCTGGCGCTTGAAGCCGAAAATCTTGAACGCCAAACCAAGAAATCGCAAGGCTCCAGACATTGCATGGCCAACCCGAGGCCCTAGACTGTGAACCCACTCAGAGCTTCAAAGCCAACATCTTCAAGACTCGGGGGACGATGGAATAACCGTCGCCCTGAACCCTTCCACGCTGATCCCACAAAATCGTGGGCGCTGCCGAGGATGTGAGTGCCCGGCGTGATGCCTGGCGACCGGCCGATCAGCGCTTCGAGCTTTTGAGGCGAATTGTAGAGACTGGGTTTCAACCCCGGCAATGACTTGCTGACTAGGTTGATACGCTGGCTGTTCTGTTGTCGTGTCTTCGTCAAGTTGCGAACTTTTAAAGCAGGAGGTTCAGGGTTTGGACACAGACATAAACATAGAGACACATAGATAGATATTCATATGATGTGCTGTCGCTACTGACTTATCACTCGCTGACTCACTCGCTCGCTCGCCCGTTCGCTCGCTGAACCACGCAGGCAACCAAACCCGAATGATATGTCTCCCCCAACCCAACCCTGCCTCTATCATTCAATCAGTTCGTCTATGTTTGTTTGCGTCCATGCGTGCAGACTGCGCTGTCACTAGACTTTCGAAACTCCTAAGCCACTGACTAACCCCTCAATCGAAAAAACCCAACCTAAACCTTGAGCCCATGTCCCATGGCTGCGTGGCCAAACCCGAAACCCCGCACTGCAAACCCGCCTGAAGATCGAAAACCTGTGCGGTTTTTGGAGGCCCCGAAACAGCACGCGCTGGATCCGCGGACGGGGCCAGCTGCAGGCCCGGAAAGCGACCCACCCAGTTGTGGATTACCGGGCTCCCATAGAGAGAGTCATGATTAGTGGCAGAAAGTCGGCGGGTGGGCTTTGCTTTCTCATCTAGATGGTCTGGTGACCAATTCTCATGATGGCAATGGCTCCGGCGATTGCTCTTTGATTCTGCGTTTCTGGGAAACTCCCACGCCCAAACCCTCACCGCACCGAAAACCCACACATATAACGCCTCATTCGTCCTGAACATGGAGTGCCCTCTACTGTAGGGCCGGGTTCTTAATAATCAGTAATCATACGGTATCCCCTTAGAGTCCCCATATAGCCCCAAAACGCTTGTTCTAAAGGCCCCCATGTGACATCCCTACATATCCCTACACTTTCCTTCGAAATTCCCTGGGAAGCCTGGCCCGAAGGTCTTGGAGTGCGTCTGCCGGGCGCCCCTTTGTGGGGCCAAGCTCTTTGCATCCTCCCTGGCGGCTTTGGGCACCTCGGACTCGGACTCTTCCTCTGTTCGTACATCTGCATACAAACAGATATGTCATTCTATATGCATGTATCTTTGTACGTACGTAGGTATGTATATATGCATGTATAGATAGACACAGATATGTTGTTGGGACACTTTCCACCTGCTTGAGGAGTCTTGTTTCGTGTTTGGGGGACATCGCACTTTACCGGGTCTGAGGTTTTGGGGGCTCAGGGTTTGGGTGCGAGGGGCTTCCGGTTCTGTGGTTGTGGCTTCGAGCAGGTTTAGGTTTGAGGTTTGGTTTAGAATGTCTGTTTGTGATTGGGTTTTGAGGACTGTAGTTTGTCGTGTTTGCGGATCGAGGGCTTTAGTTTTGTTGGTTTGGCGGTGTTTAGAGGTCGAGTCCGACTGGGGTGAGGGCTTGGCTGTCCCTACACATTGTCATTGCGGCAGTAGTGGGCCCCAGCTAGAGTCGTCCACTGCGCTCCCTGCAGTACGTTCTAAGCCGAGACTGAGGTTACCACATTCTGGGCAGCAAGGGCGTGCGTGGTCGTCCCTTGAAGAGTGAGCCTTGACGTGGTTTAGGGTTCAGGACTTCCGGTCGTACATCGCTTTTTTTGAGCCGCCAAATGCAAATTTTCAATCAGGATAACATGAAGGCTCAGGAAGAAACCCTTCATGAGGCTGGAGACCGAAACTCCACAAAAAGCCGCAACTCCATCCGTCCCCCTGTGCATGCTCACACACTTCCTGGTGAGACACTCCCGCAGTGCTGGACCGTCAACTTCCAGGCCTCAAACCAGAGCTCCCCAACCCGAGAAGCAAATGTCCCCGAGATCATTGGCTGGACCCTGGACTTGCCTCACCGCATGGATTTCAAGGCTCGGCGGCTTTGTCTAAAGGGTTTGCAGCTTCGGGGTGCAACGCTGGAGGGTTCAGCAGTCGAAGTTTGTCGTTTCGGGACACGGGATCGCATATCATGACATTCCTGGAATGGCTGATCTCAGTAGCCAACAGCTGTGTGTTGCGAAGCCTTCCGATTTGGCCTCTCTCATGTTCCCATGAGGCTCCCGGCCAATCATTACTAGCCTCCCTGCCTCGAGGATCCAGTGCGTGTACGTGCAACCCCAGCTGAGGCACTTGACTACCCAGGCCCTTCAACCGTAAGTTGAGGTGATTCACAACCCACACCTCAGGTGCTTCTATACCGAAACCCTGAGCCCTAAACCTTAAACCCTAAACCCTAAAGCCTGAGCTGTAAGCCCTGGGACCGTTGACGTTTCCATTGTCCAGATTTCCGCAGGTGGAGCCACCGGCCCAGCTGATGAAGGCCTTCGAGGCTTCGGGGGGCTGAGGAAGAAGCCATTTCGGGGGGATGTCGGGTTTCGGGAGTTCAGGGTTTCAAGAGCCTTCGCGCGCCCCGCCCTGTCGCGCTTGCAGGTGCGCGTCTCACTTGTGACTTCTTTTCTTGACTCACTTGTGACTTTTCCAGCCTTTCTCGAGTCCATGCTCACTTGTGACCTGTGTTTTGCTGCTTCGCATGTGATTTCTCTGACACAAGAACTTGCGATACGTCTCGGCAAATGTGCTTGAAATCACTTGGGACTTCTCCGCCTTGTGACTTCTCTGACACAAGAATTCGTAACCCTTCCCGGTGAATATCACTTGTCACTTCTCCATCCTCATTTGGCGATGCTACTTCCTCATCTATCTTAAACACCGCACCTGATTTGGCGATGCCGCTGCCGGTGCCTCATATATCTTAAACACACCCCCTCGTTCGGCGATTCCGGTTCAAGATATATCTTAAAAGCGCACCCTCGTCTGGCGATGCTGGTTCAAGATATATCTTAAGCGCGCCCCCTCAGTTTGTCGATTCCGCATCAAGATGTATTTGAAAAACGACCCCTCGTTTGGCGATTCCGGCTTATCGTATCTCTTAAACATGTCCCCTCATTAACATGCCCCTCATTTACTGTAGCGGTTCCTGTATCACGATGGGGGTTCATCTAAAAAACGTCCCCTCGTTTGGCGATTCCGGCTTATCGTATCTCTTAAACATGTCCCCTCATTAACATGCCCCTCATTTACTGTAGCGGTTCCTGTATCACGATGGGGGTTCATCTAAAAAACGTCCCCTCGTTTGGCGATTCCGG